GCAGCACCAGCAATTTGTGAGTCACTTAGGACCTTGTTTGGAAGAAGATTCTAACCAGAACTGAGCACAGAAGGCAGCCAGGAGAGCCTGCCTTACTAGAACCATGGACCCATTGACCTGCAGCACTGCAAGGGGCCCTGGGTTCCTCTAGTCAAGCATTTCCCAAAGCATGTAACTAAAATATTAGTTCATAGGGGAGTTAACAGATGTTTTACCCCCCCCCCAATATTTCATAATCAAGAAAATCAGGATAATTAAAGAAAAATTTAAGACTCTTTTCTATAAAGCTTCTCAGAAACTTTAAGGTTCTAATCTCTAAGCATTTTCCAAATTCAGCTGTGTGATCTTTAGCAAGTTACCTCAGTTTGCTGAACCTCAGTTTCTTCATCTGCAACATAGGGATAATAATACCCACCTCCGGGGATTGCTCTGAGGGTGAAGAAGATCATGAGTTCAGAAGCACTTAGCACAGCACACACAGAAGTCGTCAGCAAATCTTATTTCCCTTCTCCTACGCCTTCCTTTTTTTATTTTTCCCTCAAATTTTCCACTAGGCCCAGCAAATTACCCCTGTTTATAACCTTCTGTGAAATTATTTCAGACTCATTTCCTGGGTTCTGGGTGGCATCAAGGTAAATATGTCTGCAAGGAAAGCTGCCATCAGCTTACAGGATAGTAGGACACGAGGTCCAAATGGGGCAGAAATCATCATAAACACAGGGTATGTGTTCCCACCCCATAGGGCCAGACGCAACAACGTCTCTCAAGGCTCAGGTGGCAGTGTTGCCGCTCCTGAAGCACAGAGGAACAGATGAAATCCCAGGTTAAAACACGCAGCACAGATTTATAATCACAAAAGGGAATTATGAATTGGCATAATTATGAGTTGGCAGCTGACTAAGACTAAGAATCAAAGCGTTTTGAACTAGATTTGTAACCTCTGATGGTGTAAATTTCCTTATCTGTAAAATGCAGGGGTTTGAAACAATAGTTTAGCCTAGTTAGTAATGTATGTTTGCCTTGAGCATTGTGCTCTCTCAAAGATTTATCTATGTGGGATCCGGTTGACAGCAGCATCTCGAGGGTTTGGATGGGAGGCTTGGGGGCAGTGACTGTGTTGATGGTGGTGGAATGATTTGGAAGGGTATAGTGGGAACAGTTGCATAACTTGAGGAGCGTAGACAATGTCACTGAATTGTGCATGTACAATTTGTTGAAACAGTATATCCATTGCTGTGTATATTTTCATAAAAACATAAACTTAAAAAATATATATACCAAAACAAAACAAAAAGGCAGGGGTTTGGGTAGATGGTGTCCAGGCTCTCTTCATCTAATTCATGCCAGTACCCACTGTCTTAGTTATCTAGTGCTGCTATAACAGAAATACCACAAGTGGATGGCTTCAACAAAGAGAAATTTATTCTCTCACAGTTTAGAAAACTAGAGGTCCAAATTCACAGTGCCAGCTCTAGGCGAAGCCTTTCTTTCTCTGTCAGCTCTGGAGGAAGGTCCTTGTTATCAATCTTCCCCTGGACTAGGAGCCTCTCTGTGCAGGAACTTTGGGGCCAAAGGATGCGCTCTGCTCCCAGCACTGCTTTCTTGGTGGTATTTCTGTTACAGCAGTAGTAGATAACGAAGACAGAATTTGGTACCAGGAGTGGGGTGATGCTCTAACAGATACCTAAAATGTGGAAGTGGTTTTGAAACTGTCAGTGGATAGAGGACTCAGAAGGAAATGAGGAGAGCTGTTACACTGGAGATGGCACAGACAGCGAGAGGCAGCAGCAGAGAACCGGCAGCAGCAGATCCAGGAGACCAGTGTGAGACGGTGCTGGAGCCAACACATAGAGCAAAAGACCTGAGTGCTGGTGTGCAGGAGGCTTCCTGGTTGAGTAGGGTGCCTCTGAGCACTTATTGGTGGAGCTAGGCTTGCCGACCCACGGAATGAGAGAGCTGAGTGCCTTCTGGCCAAAGTTTACTGGCAGAGTAGGGTGCCTTCAGTCACTTATCGGTCAAGCTACAGAGCTTTGGAACACTTGCCTCAGCACGGCAGACACCGGCAGTGAGGCCCAAGAGGGCCGAGAGGCCAAGGAACTAGGAAGCAGAGGCTGAAGAGACAAGGAACACAGGAAGCCAAGTTGCCTCAGTCTCAAAGTGTATGGCCATGACTTCTGGGATTTCGAAGGGTGAAGCCATGGCCTCTGGAGTTTCTAAGGGTGGAGTTGCCACTCAGATGGACTAGGAGAATGGTGCACCTAAAGCCGAGGGAGCAGAGGTACTGTTTCAGTGGACCTGGAAGGCAGAGCTGAAGCCCAGGGCCAAGGAGCCTCCACTCAGAATCTGGAGAGTGTGACCAATACCTAGAGTCTGGAGGGTAGGGCCATTGTGTAAATGGTCTCAGAGAACAGAGGATTATTTTCAAGCCTTGAGAGCTAATGTAATGTGTTCTGCTGACTTGCTTGGTGCCTGTTATCCCTTCTTTCCTTCCAATTTCTTCCACTTGTAATGGAAATGTCTAGCTTGTGCCTGTTCCACCCTTGCACTTTGGAAGCAGATAACTTGTATTCTAGATTTCACAGATGAGGAAGAATTTTTGAATTTTGGACTTGGAGTTGATTTAAGACTTTTGCTATGATATGATGGGTGAATGTGTTTTACATGTGGCAAGGACATGAATTTTGGGGGGCCAAAGGGTGGAATGTACTGGATTGAATCGTGTCCCCCAAAAACATATGTATCAATTTGGCTAGGCCATGATTTCCAGTATTGTGTAATTGTCCACCATTTTGTCATCTGATGTGATTTTCCTACATGTTGTAAATCCTATCACTATGATGTTCATGAGATGGATTAGCAGCAGTTATGTTGATGAGATCTACAAGATTAGATAGTGTCTTAAGCCAATCTCTTTTGAGATATTAGAGAAGTGAGCAGAGAGACATGGGGACCTCACACGACCAAGAAAGAAGTACCGGGAAAATGGCGCAACTTTTGGACCTGGAGTCTATGTGCTGAGAAGCTCCTCAACCAGGAGAATATTAATGACAAGGACTTCCCTCCAGAGCCCACAGAGAGACAAAGCCTTCCCCTGGAGCTGGTGCCCTGTATTTGGACTTCTAGCCTACTAGACTGTGGGAGAATAAACTTCTCTTTGTTAAAGCCATCCACCTGTGGTATTTCTGTTAGAGCAGTACTAGATAACCGAGATACCCACTTTAAAGGTTACCAAATGTGACACAATCACAAGCCCAGGAGGCACAGTCCACGTTATCAAAATATATTTTATTGAGACAGAGTCATTTATAATACAGTACTTTTTACAGCACAATGGAAAAACTCAAGTTATACAAATGACACATTCACAAATACAAATTACTTTTTGCTCTGAGGTACACAGGGCACACGGGGAAGGGTGCTGACATCTCTTTGCAAGGAGACAAAGAACCTAATGGACCAATGGTGAGTCCTTCCCCCAAAGAAGGGTCCTGTCTGTGACCTGGCAATATTTCTACCTTCTGCCCCCTTAGAGGAATGAAGTGAAGCTTTCCCCATGAGTTCCAGAGCAGGACAAACTCTGCATCCTCCCTGGCTGTTCTTATTCTGGCTCATAAAATTTCCATGGCATCATTAAGAAGCTACTTCTAGACAACACAAAAGACAACAAGGACAGGCATAGTCCCATTGGCACAAGAGCTATTTGTCCTGAAAAACCCACTTGGGGATCCCTGTGGGCTAAGAAGAGTCCCTGGGTGGCGCAAACAGTTAAGTGCCAACTACGAGCCCAAAAGTTGGTGGTTCTAACCCATCTAGAGGTGCCTCAGAAGAAAGGTGTGGCAATCTGCTTCTGAAAGGTCACAGCCTTGAAAATCCTATGGAACAGTTTCTACTCTGCACACATGGGGTCGCCATGAGTTGGAATCGACTCAATGGCAACTAACAACAACAACATGGGCTTCGAAGTCTCTGTCTGCCCCATGAGAGATGGGCGGAATTGTTACCCACTGTTCAGAAGATGATTGATTATTAAAAACTTTGTATTGTGAAAAATTCCAAACAGCCTCATAAACAGAGACGACAGTATGAGCTCTCATGTACCATCACCCAGGGAAGCAGATGGTGTGGCCTTGTTCAGTTCCAATTAACAGCCAAAAGAGCCAAGTGATCCTTGTACTAACCCTTTCTCCCTCAAACCTCAGCTTCCTGCTCAGCTCTTTATCCATGTTTGCTGCCATGCTCTAGCTGGCGCTAAAAGGAAACCTAAAACTAGCGTGAAAGTAGCAACCCTTTAGGGTTGGCGAAACAAGGTCGATTCTGCCTGCCACATCTCTCTTCTGGGTGACACAGCGGGTAGCTCAGGACCAGATGGAAGATGATGAAAACATTCGGTCTCTGGAATAAGATTTCTCTGGCAAATTGGGTCCTTAAGGAATATCACGATCCCATAAGTTTCTGTAAGTGGGGCCCTGACATCCCGAGTGCGAAGGTGGTGTTGACAGTGAGTCTTCTTACAGGAACTGGCTTGAAGAAGCCTTATTATTCAGACAACACAGAGAAATGGCCTGTCTAGACAGCTTGGGAGGGTGAGGTGTCTAAGCACAATTATTTCTAGCATATTGGGAAGCCTGCTCCCTTAGCTCCTCTGAAAGCAAAACAATTTTTCATTGCCTCTTGCTTTTGAGGGAGGGAAGGGGAGAAGGAAGTATGCCTCTAGGCTGAGTTTTGTTCCCCAGATCCATATGATGGCTGCCCTCCTGGGAGGCACTTCAGCCAGGCTCCTGGGTCCAAGATGGGGCCAGTTCTGCCCATGCAGGGACAGTACTCACCTCATAAGTACTCCACTATGTCCCTGCTTCATAATTATCATTATAGTCCAAACAGAAAAGTATAACTCAGAAGAAAAATAAGTATACACACACACACACACTCTACACAAGTAGAGAAAAAAAATTGCAAGTAAATCCAGAGCATGTTAACAGATGTTATCACAAGCTGGTGGGATATGGAGTGATTTTTATTTTCTTCTTTAGGCTTTTCTGAATTTTCCATAGTTTTACTAATAACTTCTTCTAGTATGAAAAATACCGTAATTCCTCTTTTTTTAATGTACCCAAGTTGGTCTCTTCTTGCATATAAATGGTCAGGCCACCACAGATTGTGATTCATCCTGGTCCAACTACTTTAGAAAGCAAGGCATGAAAACCTCAGTGCCAACTCTAGCTTGATAACTTTCCCTGGCTAATGAACCTTTTCAAAGCAGAGTTTTGTGTATCTGGGCCAGTACACTAAAAACCCTGCCTCACTTGGTTATGGCTCAGGTTTCCTTGAGCTGAGCTGTAGGGAGGGTTGTACACAAGCCAGTTGCCGGACAGTTGGAGCAATGACTGACTTAGCACCCATCTGGGCTGAAGTTGTCCTCAGCTCTCTTGCTCATGGGACCAGGGTGATATGCCACACAGCATTTTTTAGATGGGAATTTATAATCATGTGTCTAGTTGGTAGTTGCCTTATAGTTTTCACGTCAAATAGGGCTGGGAGGCTGGGCAGAGTATTCTAGAAACTCAAAAGTCCTACGGCTTCTGCATGGACTTGTTTCCAGCACAGTTAAGGTTGTGTGTGCGGGGGCAGGCCACCTCCTCAAGCTCTTTTCCAACCTCAGCTGGAGATAGATCCCTTCCCTGGCCTCTTCCCAACCTCCTCTAACTCATTGCCACAATGGGCTCCACAGACGATAGGTCTGTCTTCCCAGACTGGAGATGCAAGGAGGGTGGGAGGTTATTGGCTAGTGGGGCCCTCCTGCCGTTGCTCTTTTCTGTCCATGCCACCCTGAAAGAAGGAACAGGGGAGGGTGGCCTGTCCTCCTGAGGCTTGGGCAGCCTTTGGCACATGCTCAGTAATGCCTTCAGCTCGACCCTAAAGTTCTCATTGAGCCAGCAGTAGATGAAGGGGTTGTAGCAGGTGCTGCTCATGGCAAACCAGTGGAAGGCAAAGTAGATGGCGTTGTTGGTGCGGATGACCTTGCTGGACAGGAGGAGGACGTAGCAGTTAAGGGGGAACCAGCAGAGGGCAAAAAGAACCACCACCAGCATTAGCATCTTTATGGTCTTCTTCTTCTTGCGCCGCAGGGCAAGGTACTGCTCTGTGGTCACGTCACCAATTGTGTTGCACAGCCACAGCTTCTTGGCCACTCGGGCATAGGCCACTGAGATGATGAAGAGGGGTAGGATGTAGAGCAGGATGAAGGTGGCCAAGTCCAGGTACTTCCAGAAGAGGTCAGCTGGCTCAGGGAAGTCTGGTAGGCATAGGGATCGGACAGTGTCTTCACTGGGGGCATAGGGAAGACAGAGACAAAGATATTAGTGTGGAAAGGTCTCATCCCGATAAGCACTGACTCTCCCTCCACTGGACTCCTGGCATATCTCTCTGTTGTAGCATTTTTTATACTGCAGTCTAATTATCTGATTGCATTATGGTTTTTGGCTCCCCCGCTAGGCTGGGAGCCCTGTGAAGACAAGGAATATACTTGTATCCTCTTAACCTTGTATCATTTCTAGTCCATAGTTTTTGTTAGCTGGTGTTGAGCTGGCTCCAACTCATGTTGACCCGATGCACAACCAAAGAAAATGCTACCCTATCCTGTGCCATCCCCGTGGTTGACTGTGGATTCACAGGGTTTTCATTGCCTGATTTTTGGAAGCAGATCATCAGGCCTTTCTTCCTAGTCTGTCTTAGTCCGGAAGCTTTGCTGACACCTCTTCAGCATCATAGATACCGTCTTAGTTATCCAGTGCTGCTGTAACAGAAATACCACAAGTGGATGGCTTTAACAAAGAGAAATTTATTCTCTCACAGTCTAGGAGGCTAGAAGTTTGAATTCAGGGTGTCAGCTCCAGGGAAAGACTTTCTCTCTCTGTCACCTCTGGGGGAAGGTCCTTGTCATCAATATTCCCCTGATCTAGGAACTTCTCAGCACAGGGACCCCTGGCCCAAAGGATGAGCTCCCCTGCTGGTTCTTCATTCTTGGTGGTAGGAGGTCCCCCTGTCTTTCTGCTCACTGTTCTCTTTTATATCTCACAAGAGATTGACTCAAGACACAACCTAATCTTGTAGATTAAGTCCTGCCTCATTAACATAACTGCCTCTAATCCTGCTTCATTAATATCATAGAGGCAGGATTTACAACACATAAGAAAATCACATCAGATGACAAAATGGTGGACAATCACACAATACTGGGAACGACGGCCTAGCCAAGTTGACACACATTTTTTGGGGAACACAATTCAATCCACAACAGCTACACACAAGCCTCCACTGACAGGCAAGTGGTGGCTGTGCATGAGGTGCATTGGCCAGGAATGGAACCTGGGTCTTCCTCATGGAAGGTAAGAATTCTACCACTGATCCACCAATGCCTTCTTTCTAGTCCATAGTAGAGACCCAATAAATATTTGTTGAATGAAGAAGAAGACACTAGTGTTCCAATCTTAGAACTAACTCATCCTTGGAGCACTGTTGATTCATGAAACTTGGAATTCCCCATTGTACTACCGCTCTCAATCCAGAGGAGAACAAAGGTGAAGAAATGATGGGCTTTGAGAATGTTGAGTGGCAAAGCTTGAACTAACCCATTATTTGTACCTTCTGCCACACATAGAACACATATTTATTTTATATGGAATGCATCTGTCATCCTCTTTATGCTTTTTAGGATATCCACGTGGCTGGCTGCTCTTTTATGTGCTGGTGGACATCATTAGTGAAAATTCTCTCTGTTTCTGTTAGCAGCAAAAAAGTGCTCCATGCCTGAATGCCAGTGGGGAGTCTAAATGTTGGGGGATCTGGGTATTTGATTCATTCCAATATCCTAGAATTCTGGGAAGGAGCACTTATAAATTAATTAAGACTATAAATTAATTGAAATCGGCTTTCAGGGTTGATTTCTTTTGACCTTGCTAATGTCACAGGGAGTTCCTTGGTAGTGTAAAAGGTTAATGTGCTCAGCTGCTAACTGAAAGGCTAGCAATGCAAACCTACCCAGCAGCTCTGCAGGAGAAAGACCTGGTGATCTTCTCCTGTAAAGATTACAGCCTAGAAAACCATATGGGGCAGTTCTACTCTGTCCTATAGGGTCTCTAAGGGTCGGAATTGACTCGACGGCGCACAACAACAACAGGGCCACTGAAGCCACTTCTCCCAGATTCCCAGGAGCCAGAAGTGGCTGGGAGTTTCTGCATTCCCCAGAGGGCCTAGAACCAATAATTTGCAGATGGAGGAATATGAAAGTCCAACTCCCTTGCCTCAAAGCGGGACAAACTTGGCCTTACAATTTATGCTCCAGAGCCCCCTGTAGATTAGGCTGAAATTGCACCCTTCCTTGGCCTCTCCCTGTTCCCCCAGTCCCTTACTCTTTAGTCTTGGAAGCACTTCCTTACTAAATCACTTGCATGGGTACCTTTATATCAGGGTCTGCCTTTAAGGAACCCCATGAACCCCATATAAAACCACTGTGAAACGAGGAAAATCACTCTAGGATCATTCATTCGTTCAGTAAACATGTATGAAGGGTTTATTATGTGCAGACAGTTAGCTACTTGCTGGTAGCAAAATCAGAAATGGGGCCAGCTCTCCCCAAACTTATATTCTGGCAGAGAAAACTGCCTTTAATGAACTGGTATCATACGTGAGGGTTTAAATTTTAAAAACTGAAAGCTTTGAGAGAAAAGTTCTCATTTTATGTGAGCATAATAATAAAGAAACCTGAGTTAGAATGGGTGGTGGGTAGAAGTCTTACCTCAGACACATACACACGTACAGGCAGTCCCCAGGTTATGAATTTCTGACTTAAGTACAACCTGTAGTTAAGAATCAACCCCTTAAAGCCTATTATATTAAAAATTAGAGGTACATACAATGGTTCGTAATAACAAAAAGACGCTTCTTTGCAACTCACATCAAAACATTATTGTTATTATTACTGTATAATTATGTTAAAGATGTTTTAGTGTATCTGGAAGTGTTTCTTTAATGTTTTTTATGCATAGAAAGGTACATTATATACTAAGACAATCATTTGACTAACTGATGTTAGATACAAACTGTACTTAACTGTTTTCCGACTTACGTACAAATTCGACTTACAGACAGACTTAGGAACAGAACTTGTTTGTAATCCAGGAACTGTCTGTACAAATTTCTGTTTGTATCTTGTGTGAGAGGCCTTGGTGGTTTCAAATCTCAGTCTGGGAGTACATGCCCCCTAGTGACAGAAGCTGGTAACTGTTGCTTTGCCCTCTCAGAGAAACTGGGAAGAGAATAAGGAAGAAGCTAAAGTTGTTGGGTTCAGTGGTAAAATTCTCTCCTTCCATGGGGGACACCTGGATTCAATTCCCAGCCAATGGCCCTCGTGTGCAGCCACCACCCATCTGTCAGTGGAGGCTTGCATGCTGCTATGATGCTAAACAGGCTTCAGCAGAGCTTCCAAACAAAGACAGACTAGGAAAAAAGGCCTGGTGATCTACTTCCAAAAATCAGCCCATGAAAACCCTATGGATCACAGTGCTCCAATCCCCAACAGATCATGGGGAGGGTGCAGGAGCTGGTAGTGTTTTGTTCTGTTGTGGTGTCGCCATGAGTAGAGACCGACTCAACAGAATCTAACAACAAAGTGGTTAAGGAGAAGAGAGAAAATAGAAAAAAATCAGGGGGTAGGCATGCACCAAGAAGGCACAGAATGGGAAAGAGGCAAAGGGAACACATCAGTGACTGTACCATGTCATAGATTCAGAGGGGGCTTGGCTTTCACCTTATCCAGGTCCCAGTGGATGCCTAACTCAGGAGAACACAGGAAGCCAGCCTCTCAGAGTCACCAGGCTACTCCCTACTGGTTAGCTGGACCTCACCTGTACTTGAAGGTAAATAATTTCTGGCAGATAGCATGTGGGAGTGAAAAGAACGTAGCCATGGTCCAGATGACAACAATGTAGATGACACCTCTTGTGATTGAGATCCGGGGTTTTAGCGGATGCATAATGACCTGGAACACAAGCAAACTGTGCATCACTGGCTGAAGAAGTTTTGAAGCAAGTGAGAAATCCAGAAGATGCAGCTCACTTGTCACTGCCCAGCAAGGCAGGTCCTGCTTAGAGCAGCCCTTATGTTTATTGTTGGGCCCCTGAGCTGCACTAGCCATGCCCCACACCGCAGCCTTTCTCCAGGAGGCAGAAGGAGGTTGTCATTTGGGCTCACAGATACCTGGCAGTTCAAATACCTCTTTTTTTTTTTTTGCACTTGATATGACTTCTTAAAAAAAATTATTTTTGTTGTTGCTGTTTAAAATATACACAGTAGAACATACATCAATTCAACAATTTCTGCAAGTACAATTCCGTTAACATTGACCGCATTCTTCAGGTTGAGCAATCATTCTCACTTCCTTTTCCGAACTGTTCCTCTCCCACTAACATAAACTCACTGCTCTCTAAGCATCCTATCTAAACTTTCTGAGTTGCTGTTGTCAGCTTGATCCCATATAGACAGTTCTTTAAAAGAATGCAATGTTCAAGGCAGACATTCTTTACTAATTAAGCTAAACTACTCTTCAGTTTTAAGAAGACTTCAGGGGATATTTTTGATTTAAGGTGTAAAGATTATCTCAGGGCAATAGTTTCAAGGGTTCATTCTGCCTCCATGGCTCCAGAAGGTTTGGAATTTATGAGAATCAAATGCTTCTTGCCAGTCATATCCAGGCAGAGCCAGGGTGCAGGGAGAGGACCCAGGAGGGATCAGCTTGCACACCAATGCCAGCAAAGGAACAAGCCAACCCTGGGATCTGAGTTCATCTTCCCATAATCCTAGTTTACGTAGGTTTTGAAGGGCTCTGAGAGGATCTGAGGGGGACAGACACGGAGAGGGGACTTCCATCACTTATGATGGGAATTGCATTGACACTTACTTGGATGTTCACAACACTGCTCATGAAAGCTGTGTCTAAAATTGCAATGAGGCCCAGCTGTCACACGCCTGTAATTAAGCCAGGCTTCAGGTTGAAATTCATCTTGGAATTACTACTGCATGTCAATCAATTCTCCTAAGCGGTTTAAATAAAGACTTGAGAGTTTAAAAGCGTTCTCATTTTAAGATTAGAATTGTTCTTTCTTTTTTTTCTAATATTTTATTTATTTTTTGTTGTTTTTGAAAATATACACAGCAGAACATACACCAATTCAACAATTTCTACGTGTACAATTGAGTGACATTGATTATATTCTTCAAGTTGTGCAACCATTCTGACCCTTTTTTCTGGATTGTTCCTCTCCCATTAACATAAACTCACTGCCCCCTAAGCTTCCTAGGTAACCTCTCTAGATGCTGTTGTCAATTGGATCATATATAGATACTTCTTTAAAAGAGCACAATGCTCAAGGCAGACATTCTTTACTAATAAAGTTAAACTATTGTTTGGTTTAAAGAATATACCAGGGGATATTTTTTATTTAAGGTTTAAAGATTATCTCAGGGCAATAGTTTGGGGAGTTCATGCAGCCTCAATGGCTGCAGAAAGTCTGAATTCCATGAGAATTCGAAATTCTGTTCCACATTTTCCCCCCTTTGATCAAGATTCTTCTATAGAATCTTTTATCAAAACTGAACGGCATCTTTGAATCTCCATCTTTATAGCCTGTTACTCCTTCACCCTTATTGCACCTCTTGGTGCTACTCAGAATAAATCCCATCTGTCTTTGTCCCCTCAGCCTTTACAATACTTACTTGTAGACTCTCTTGAATCTTCTCAAAGCAAGATTCCCTAGTGATCAGAGCCTGGGCTTGGAGCCAGACAGACCTCAGTCCTAATCTGGCTTTGTTGTTTATCACACGTATGATCTGGGGAAAGCTACATAGATGTTTTTCTGAACCTCCATTCCATGATTTACTGGGGGGCTGAATATTGAACATGGGTTCGCTGTGTTAGCAGGTGCAAGAAGTGGAGCCACACTCTCTAGGATGAGCATCTTCAGGTCCTCTTCTCTGTTCCTCTCACCAGGCCAGCCCAGGTGTTTCAGACAGGTTGGGACAGCAAGCAGAGCCTGCTTGCCTCGGGTTCCGCTGACGCCCACCACAACCCCCACTCCTGTCACCTGGACACCCAAGCCTGCTTTCTTCCACAACAGCCGGGACCAATGAAAAATCACTCCATCTCCCAGTCAGGAACCTGTCTCTGACCTGCAATTATTTGTCTCTCTCTTTTCATTAGTAATTTTCCATGTTTGCTTTTCTACTCCAAGAACAAGCTCATCTATTTCTGAGACAGAAAATGCCAGCAGTGAATTTGCTACATCAAAAATGTTTGGTGGAACAATAAACTGGGAAGAACTTCTGCACCTAGGACAGAGGGTTTACTATCCCTAATCTAAGTGTTCATATTGACAAACACAACAACTGAAAAAACAGGCTAGAGGAGGAGCCTAGATGGTGGACTAGTCAGACACACCACGCCATCCCTCTGCAGCAAAGACCTGAAAAACCAAGTAAAACAGATACAGATGTCAATCTGGGAACCCTGAGCATCAAATGAACGAACAAAGAACTAGATCAAACACTGAATGAAAGAAGAAACTGACTGGAAAAAGTGAACAAGAAGGGACAGAGGAGAGGTGCCTAGCCAATTGGCCTGGCACAATGTGACCATCCTGAGACAAAGACGGTAGTGATTGCAGATGAAGAGCACAGGAGACAACTTCATGGAATTCTCATGAGGGCACAGACAAACTGAGGAGACGCACCTGGAGTGAAACAGGGTGAACAGCGGCACAAACCCCCTCATCTCTGCAGCCCACTGGGGACCATGGCAGAAGCCATCCCCCTTTCCCTCCACCTGACCACCCACCCTACCTTTCCCACCTGCCCAACTGTGCCGAGTGCCAGCAGGCTGCCACGGGACAGACCCAGCCACCCACCCCATCCTCCTAGCCTGCCCTACTGCTCTGTACATCAACAAGAAATTCTGGTGCAGTTTTGGCCTCCTGCCTTGCCTTTCCCACCCCTCTAATCGAGTTGATTGTCTGCAGGCTGCTCCAGCACAGGCCTGGCCGTCCTCCTTTCCTTTCCTGCCCACCTAACTGTGCCAAGTGCTGGCAGGCTGCGGGGGCTTGGCTTTGGCCCCCCTCCTTTCTTTTCCTATTTGCCCGACAACATCAAGCACTGGCAGGCCACTCCGGCATGGATGAAACCACCAGCCCCTCCCTTATCACTTGCCAACTCCACTAGCCCTTCCCTTCTCACTTGCCAACTCCACCGAGCACTGGAAGGCCACAATGGTGCAGTTTTGCCACCTGCCCCGCCTTTTTCACCTGCCTGATCAAGCTGAGCGTTGGCAGGCAGTTTTGGCATGGTCCCCACTACTTGCTCTTCCTTTCCCACCTGCCCGACTGCAACAAGTGCCAGCATGCCACACCAGCTTGGCTTTGGCACCTCACACCACCTTTCCCATTGCTAAACCCTGCTGAGCACCAGCAGGCCACACTGGCATGGCTTCAGTCACCCGCCCCACCTTCCTGCCCACCCGATAGTGTACACAAGCATTGTGAGCTAGCCCGCCCATCACCCTCCTTACCAGGCACATGTCAGTGAAAGTGTGCCCACACACTTGCATGCCTGCCATCCCTCTCTGCCCCGACTTGACCCAATGAGCTGAGGCACCCATGCACTCCTATGCCTAGCCACCCTTGCTTGGGCTTGCAGTCCAGCAGCACCTCCTACTTCCTCAGCTACCTGTGCCAGGGGCCTGAAGACCAAGGGCACACACTCCCTCATGGTACGCTCTAGCAGACAGAGGCATGCCCTCCAACCAGGCACCTGTGGACTGGTGGCATCTCCCTGCCTTGCCACCTGCATTGCTCCCCCTATAACTGGAGGTTTATGCCTACTCGAACCACCTCCACCCAGCCTGGTCTGTCCCAGACTGTTGGTGAGAGTTTATGTGCCACTTACCCAATGACTGACGACCCAGGCACCCTTGCCCAGAACACTTGGCAACCAACAGTGCACACATACAACACCCAACCCAGCAACCAGTGAGAACACTCCCTACACCCATGCCCAACTGACTAGCTGGACAGACACACCATCTCACCAGAAAAGCCAGCTGCATTCTCAGCTGCCCTGAAAGACCAGTGAACAGAGAACCATCCTCACACACCCAGTCACTGCCCCTCCCACCTGGAGACAGGAGGTGAGAGCTCCAGTGCAGCCAGACTAGCAACCAGAGTAGCACACAAGCCTCACCTACAATGATACATCAAAACAAAACAAAAAATCAGGATGCAACAAACAAACATACAATAAATCAATAAATGTAACAACACCTTGATGCCTTAGAGACAACAGACAATATCAAATCACATAAAGAAGCTTGTCAAGATGGATTCAGCAAATGACCAAAATAAAGAACAAGAAAACTTTCCAGTGGAAGAAGTGATAACTGAATGACCTGATAAGAAATTCAAAAGACTTATATACAGGGGTCTCCAAGAGGTCAAGAAAGAGATCAAGGAAAACACAGATAAAACCAAAGAAAAACATACAAGTCAAGAAAAACACAGACAAAACAATGGAAGAATTCAGGAAAACAATAAAGAACAAAATGGCAAAATAAATAGACAATGAGAAACCATACAAAAACAACTAGAAATCCAAAAGTTTAACAATAAAATTTCAGAAATAGACAACTAGACAACTTAATAGAAGGATACAGGAGCAGAATTCAATTAATGAAAGACAACATTAGTGAAATTGAGGACAAATACCTTGACACCAATTCATTTCAGGAAAAATCAGAAAAAAGAATGAATAAAAATGAAGAAAGCCTAAGAATTATGTGGCACACTATCAAAAGGAAAAAATTGTGTGAGATTGGAGTTCCAGAACAGGCAGAGGCAATGGAAAACAGAACTGTCAAAGATTTGGTGACAGAAAACTTCTCTTATATCATGAAAGACAAGATGATATCCATTCAAGAAGCACAGCAAACCCCTTACA